TTTTTTTTTTTTTAGAAAACAAAATAGAAATGTAGAATGAGGAAGTTAGAGTAGACAATTGGTAAAATTTCCTTTTAGGTCATAAACATAAATAGCAAATCCTAAGTATTTTCTATTCAGCATCACTAAATTTCTTTGGTAATAGTTAAAAATATTTTTAATAATACAATTATAAAAGTTATTTTTTAATGCTTTTTCATCGAATCTTTGTAAAGTTCTGTGAACATTTAAAAGGCATTTGGAAAAGTTAGCATGCTTCTCTATTGTTTCATTCATGAGAAGCTGAATCTTGATATTCAATAGGATTTCTGCAACACAGCAAACAAGGAAGTGGGACAACGTAAAGAAAATAGGTCCATCAGATATTCTTGGCTCTTTCTCCTTCCCTTCACCCCATACCTTAGATTTGCTGAGTACTTTTTTCTTTCAAGTCAGGAAAAATCTCATCTGCTCGCATGATTTGGTAGATAACTGCCCTAGGGATTTACTGTTAACTTTTTCTACATCCAGCTGAATATTTTAATGAAAAAAATAGAGCCTTTCTTAAAAAATATTTGTTTTGGCAAGTGTGAAGGGATTAGCAAAAGCATTGACAACTTATTTAGTGATTTTCCAAAACCGTACAACAGAGATTTTCATCATTGGAAATACAATGAACAAGTTAAGGTTTTCTTGCCATCTGAGAATGTCAAAAAGACCAAGCTGATGCAACATTCACTCACATCGATTGAGGAAAGCAGGGGAATTCCCAGTCAGCCATTTCTAACCACACTGCATCTGACTAAAGGAGCTATTTGATTTTTTAACATTCTGTTTGTATAAGTATATGCAAGCCAAGACAGTATTGTAGGTCAACTGGCTTCATAATTTTCCTTTCATGAGGCTGGTTTTTTCCCTCTGTCCCTCACTCCAACATCTTTTCTTTTGCTGACAGTTCTTCTTACGATAAGCTATTGTAATCTAGAAGATATTATCTTTCAGGATAAAGGCAGAATGCCAAATCAGGAGGCAGAATTTGGCAGTATTCTTGATTTTCTTCAAGACAATGAGCATACTTTTTCCTTTATCCCCTTAGAAATGAGAAATAAATCTCACCAGCTTTTATGGAACAAATTTAGCTCAGCCTTCCGTGAACAAAGTGTTCTTTTTCTATAGTCAGCTCAGGGAGAAGATTCTCGAGCATTCATTGTAAGATTGTTTTAAAAATATTTTGCTATTTCTCTTGATATAACTTGTGCAGCATACCAATGTAATTTAATAATAAAATTCCAGTTTCATGTTGCAAATCTGGTTGCCTTAGTTTAAAATTATATGTTGAAAATTAAGCATTTGGTTGCTAAGGAAAAAAGAGAATTCTATCTTGGAATTGTTCAACTATACAGGCTTGGTGTATTTCCCACTCACATTTTCATTCCAGAAAGTTGGCTGGAAAGCCATTCTTCCTTTACTCGTGATATTACACAAATGTAATGAAAATCTAAAATAATTTTGGTTTTCACTGACCTCTTATGAATTAGTCATAATTTCTCTCTTATTCTCTGGAAAAAACAAAAATATTTTTCAAAGGACTTTTATAAAGAAGGAAATGTGATTTGGGATTGACTAATAGAGATAAGAAAAGGAAGGTAAAAAGTTGCCTTTTTAAAAAACAGTTGGCTGTAAAGAAATTCAGAAAGACTAGATTTGCCTTGTGTAGATAAAGACAATGCATTATTCTAAAGCCTATGTAATACAGATTTAGGGAGCTTTAGTAGGTATTAAAACTTAGTCATTGATTGGCTATTTTTTTTTGTATTTGAATTTCAAGTTTTTAAAATAATATTTAATAAATTTCATGTTAGATTTTATTGGTAGATTAAAGAACAATTTTTTAAAAGGAAGAATGGTATCTCTTAATTTGGAAACATATCAATCACTATCTTGACTAGTCCATGAGATCTTAATAATTACTCTGAAGATGCTTTTGAAGAGGAATTATTGCTAGTTATTGCTTAAATTTTATTCACTTTTTATTGCTTTAAAAAGTCCAGGGATCCCATAACTGAGATGTGTTGGGAAGTCATGGTGGTGACTAATAGAGATGTCAGTTTGTGGCCTTTTGTTTCAATAGAAGGAAAAATTGTACCACAAAGTATTTATTAATAGTCATTGAACAACCTGGATGTGGGTTTTCAAGTGACTGTTTTCCCAGCACTATTATACCTCACCCTTCTGGTAACCTGAAGCAACCTCAGATTTACTGCCTCTGATGGGTGAGCTTTTTAAGTTGAGACTGAAGATTTCTGCAAGGATGAGAGATTTGCTTTGTTTTGAGTCTCTAGGCTCTTTACCAGCCCTTCTAAAGGCACAAATGCACATCCCTCATCACAAAAGAGACCAAACACAAGAATGTAGAAGGATTAGGGCTAAGTTTTCAGCATGACACAGTGCAAAGTCATGAGCTCTGGGTGTCAGATCTTGTCTTGCCACCTACAAGTGTGTGACTCTGGACCAGTCTCCTCTCCTTGCCTCAGTATCATCTGTAAAGTGGGACTTCGTGGGGGATTTAAGATATGAATGTATGCTACATAGAGTTTACAAAAATTATTTTGGATTGTGAGTATGTTAGACATTAGAATGTGCTCTTACAAACTCTGCTTCGTATGAGAGATAAATGTGAGAACAATTATATATGAAAAGTTGAGTGAAGGTATATTAACATTTGGCACCAGTTCATTTATAGTGGGGACTAGAATTATAATTGCCTCGCTCCTGTCAGAACATGAGGCTTTATGAGGAGAGCGATAATTTTAGTACTCTTAGCTCATTATTAATGACATACCTTCTAGCAAAACCATCTACTGCTTAGCTTTTTTCTAGAGCCAAATTTTGAGAATGTGCAAACCACCTACTCTCTCCTCAATTACTTAGAATCTAGATACTCTTTCCTAAGATAAATAGTCTGTCTTTTCTCTGTGGAAGTTTTTGAGATTTTATCTCTCTATCTTTGGTGGCCTGAAATTTCACGGAGGTAGTATAGGTATGGAGTTCTGTCCTTCCTTACTCTCCTAATTCATCATAGGGAGTCCTTTCATCTAAAATCTAGTGTCTCTCTAGCTCCAAGAAATTTTCTTTTATTATTTATTATCTCATGTAATGACTTCCATTCTATCTTTCTGAAACTTACATGAGAGGTATTTGAAATCACCTGGACCTCTTTTCCATGTTACTTAAGTTTTCTTTAACTTTTTTCATTTTATGAATTTTTCTTTTTGCACTGCATTCTGGGAGAATTCCTCAGTTTAGTTGTTTTGGTTCTGAAGTTAACCTTTAGCTATATCTATTCTGGAATTCATTTCCTCCATTAATATTAATTCTTCCCCCTTTAAATCCTGATTGTAAAGAGTTGACTTAATTATAACATCTTAGTTCATAGCACAATATTGTCATTTGTCCATGTAAGAGGCTTTTTTCACTCATTTATTTTTTTAAAAGTTCATTCCTGATTTGCATTTTCATTCTCCCTATCATTGTTTCTGTTTAAGATGTTTGAAATACATGTTTAAATCGGCACATGTTCTTGTATGCCTTAGGATGTTTTCTTGTCTTCTGTGCACATTTTTTCCAACTTAATAAATATATGATATTGTGTTATACAGCATAGTTTTTAAATTTTTGGCAATTATAATTTTAAGTCCCAAGAACTCCAATTGTTTCTTTTTTTTATAGCAGTCATATTTTTGCTAATAAATGCAGTATCTTTTCAAATTTCTTCCAATATATTAGTTATACTTATTTTAAGGTCTTATTCTGTTAATTTTCCTCTATTAATTTTCCGTGGGTTTTAGTTGTTCTATTATTTGAATCAGTTGGTCTTTTCTAATGGTGTACGTTTTCCTCAAACATTTGGTGATAATTGTTTTTCTTATTGTTGGGAGGTCTGTTTCTTTGACCAAATGAGAATCTCTGTTTACTTGTCTGTTAATGCATGTTCTCCTTCTGGTGACAAAGAAGCAGCACAGTGGAATGTGCGGGCTGGTGTATTAGTTTCCTAGGGCTGCCCTAACAAAATACCCTAAACTGGATGGCTTTAAACAATAGAAATATATTCTGTCATAGTTTTGGAGGCTAAATGTTCAAAATCAAGGTGTTGACAAGGCCAGGCAATCTCTGTAGCCGTTAGGAGAGGATCCTTCTTTGCTTTTTCCAGCTTCTGGCAGCCCCAGGCATTGATTGGCTCCAACCTCTGCCTCTGGCTTCCTGCGGTCAACTTCCCTCTGTATCTGTGTGCCTCTGTGTCTTCACGTGGTTTTTTCCTCTGTATGTCTCTCTCCTCTTCTTATAAGGACACCAGTCATATTGGATTAAGGGCCCACTTTGCTCCATCTTAACTAATTACATCAACAATCACCTATTTCTAGATAAGGTTACATTTTGGGGTACTAAGGGTTAGAATGTCAATATATCTTTTTGAGGGATACAATTTAATATATTGCAGTGAGTAAGTAGCTTGTCCACTGAGTAAAAGTGGGCTTCCCATCCTTTCCTTGTACAATGTCCTGCTTTCAAGTCCCAGAAGCTACTCTGGGAGTCTTTGATTCCAGAACTCCCACTCTAGAAACTTTTACATGACATTTTGTCCTGGTGGCAAGTGCTCGAGTCAGGATGACCTTTTCTTTCTGTCCTCAGCTGTCACTATAAAAATCTTGCTGAACTCTGCTTCTCAGGCCTGAGCACTGAAGCCAGGAGCCTTTCCCAAAGAGTTTTAGTTTTGTTTATAAATGAAACCTGCAGGCAACTGTTCAGATCTTTGGGTGAAAGTGTCACCGGCCAGATCTTCCTACTGCTCCTTTAATGACTCATCCAATGACTTCTCCAGGACTAATTTGGTTTGATTAGCTTGGAGCATAAAACTCATATATATAGCTTTTATTTGGATTCTGTGTTGAAGTTTTTCCTACTTGTTTATCTGTTGATCTGATCTTGTCTGCTTCCTCCAAAAATACTTTTTTTTTTTTTTTTTTAATGTGGAACACTTCACAAATTTGTGTGTCATCCTTAAACAGGGGCCACACTAATCTTCTCTATATCGTTCTAATTTTAGTATATATGCTGCCTAAGTGAGCACAAAATACTTTTTGTGTACTGAAAATTTCTCAGGTTTCCCGGTCCACCAATGCCACCTTCTACTGTTTTTCAGTCTGTTATGGATCTTTCTTTGGGCATAGCTTTACTCTAATTTCAGTGGCATTTGAGTGGGAAGGAAATATGTATAAAGGTGTCAATTTAAACTAAGGATTATTGAGCTTTTTCTGCAAAGGGCGAGGTAGTAAATATTACAGGCTTTGTTGGCTTTAAAGTCTCTTTTGCAGCTATTTAAAAATAGTTTTAGTGCAAAAGTAGCCATAGACAATATGTAAATGGATGTAATAAGCTAGAAATCAGATGAAAGGTCAAGTCTAGCAATAAAATATAAATTTGGGACTCATCAACATAGTTTTGATGTTTTATATTTAAGTCCATAAGTCTCAAGGAGATCACCTACATTGTGGGTGTAGATAGAGAAGAGAAGGGGGTCAAGGAGTTAAACTTACTAATATTAAGATGATGGGAAAAGGAAGAGGAGCCATCAAAAGAAACAAAAGGCATATTGGAGAATATCATTTCCCAGAAGTCAAGCAAAAAGATGTTTCAAGAAAGGGAGTAATCAAACTTGTCAAATGTTACTGGATGAGCAAGAAAGGTGAATACTGAAACTTAATCTCTTGGTGATCTTGACAAGAGAGGATGCAGTCGAATGGTGAAGGATAAAGCTGTTCAGAATAGAAGAGAGAAAAGGGTGAAGAAGGCACAGGGATGTGAACACAGTCAACTGTCTGCAGGAGTTTCCGCTTCTGGTAATGCTTGCCTAAGTTATATGTGCCACTCCTGAGAAAAACTGGAACAGCAAGACTCAAAAACTCCCTGCCTGAAGGTATTGGATAGCTAATAAAACGATGAAGAATAGTAAGTTTTGGAAGATGAAGGAAACCCAAGAGGTTAACCCAGCACTGAGGTCTACTTTTTCATTAGGAGAAGAGGTAGTTGAGAGGTTAAGAAACTGAACAGAACTTTTAACAACCTCGAGAGACTAACAGGACAAAATTTGTAATCCAGAGTATGTCCAGGGGAGAGTCAGTCGCTCTCCACCAGAGTTAGAGTTGGAATCCTAAAAAACTAACTCTTAGAAATTTCTCTTCTTTCATCAGAAACAGTAGAACTTCTTACAAAGTTCTTGTAGAAAATAACTGCCAATCTAGATTTCTAAACATCGAAAATATTTCCTTACATAATGAAGGTGAAATTAAGACATTTTCACACCAGAAACTTGTGAAAAAAATTTTTTTCCAGCAGGCATGAACTCAAAGGAACACTAAAGATTTTTTTTTTTTTTCAGGTAGTGGGAAAATGAAACCAAATGGAAGCAGGAAAAAACAAAGAGTAACAAAAAGGGTAAATGTGTATAAATCTAAATGATTGTATAAAACAGTAGTTATAATTCACGTTATGTCTTAATGTATATAGAATTAAAATACATGACAACAATGTCAAGAGAGGGTTAATGGAAGTTAAAAGGGTCTAAGTTTCTTACATTGTATATGAGAAGGAAAAAGTGTCAATTAATATCAGACTTTGCTTAATTGATGATGATGTAATCTCTAGAGTAACTTCTAAAAGTAGTAAAAAATCTATAACTTATAGAGAAAGAAACTGGAATGCTAAATAATCTCAATCAATTTGAAAGAGGCGATATAATAAATAAATAATGAATATAGAACTGGCAGGAAAATAGAAAGTAAACAGTAAGATAGTAGAATGGAGTCCAAATATGTCAAAAATTAAATTTAATATACATGATCTAAATGCTGTCATTAAAAGCAAAGATTGTGTGGTGAGCACACAATGCAAGATATAAGGTGGTAAGTGAATAGACACACACACACACATATACACACACACACACACACACACACACCCCCCTTATTGTTGAATTGTACACCTGAAACTTACTGGATTTCGTTAACCAATATCACTATAATAAAAATAAATCAATTAAAAAAATTTAAAAAAATTAAAAGCAAAGATTGCCAAACTGAGTTAAAAAACAACAACTATGTGTTCTCTCAAAAGACATGCCTAAAAATATAAGAAAACAGAAAGATTGAAAGTAATAGGAGGGGAAAATATATGCCATGCAAATACTAACTGAAAGAAAGCTGAATAGATTAATATCAAAGTAGGCAAATATTTTGAGGAATTTCATTTTAAAGGGTTGAAGAGAAATAGGCCTCACTGAACATTAGAGGGGAACATTAGCTCAAATGATTTTAATTTATTTTTTAATACTTGAATATTAATGGGAAAAATACAGCAGGAGAGGGGTAAATTGATGACACAGGAAAGATGCATACAATTTAAGAGCAAAGCTCTTTGAGTAGAAAAGTAATGGGATTCAGTGCTGAAACAGAAGAGTTGGCCTTAGAGATGGAGACAGCTTTTTGTTGTTGTTGTTGTTGTTGTTGTTGTTGTTGTTGTTATAATAAGCAGAGGATAAGGGTACCAGATGCATGTACATTAATAGATAGATTTGTTGTTGAGAAGATGAGACAGTTCTCTTTTGATTACATCTATTTCCTAAGGAAATTTTACTAGTTGAGTGTAGGAGGGGTTACTACTGATTTGCACAGGGGGAAGATATAACATAGCAGTTTTAACAAGAGGTAAAACAAACTTACTGTGGAAATAAACAAAGGTTAGCCAGTGCTGAGAGTTCACTTAACATTTGTGTTCATAAATTTAAAGTGAAGCTGGTCAGTGTCAGCCAAATCTATCTTTTTCAGTGAGGATGTAGAATAGGTGAAGAGTTGAATCTGTGCTCAGGTGAAGTGAGCTATGATGTGGGCATAGTTGCTCTTTATAAATGCTACACTTCCCGGACCAAAGGAGACCATCAGCCTCCATTTGGTCCTCTTTTATATGTGTTGGTAGTGAGCTAGTGAGTGTTTGTAGCTTTAGTTCCTCTGAAAAGCACCTCCCAGCATACCCTGTGTGACCCCACAGCTGGTTGTTCTCTGAAATTAGAATGAAGACCATTTAGCACTTTTGGTTCTCAGCTGTGGGCCTAGTTGCCAGATTTGAGAAAATAAGAAGGAACCCACTTTGAAGTTCACAGCCTCATCATATCTGTCTGCAGAAACAGAACACGTGGATACACTTAGATTCTGTCTCGTGGGATTCCAGCTCTAGGGCCTGGGAAGATGTCATTCACTTTCCCTGTGTGCTATATCACTGTCCCTCCTTATGTTATCAATATTTCTCCCCTGTTAGTGACTTTGAGTGGGTTTCCGTGCCTTTTGAATAAGCAATCCCTGACATAAAGATCAGTTTCCTCATCTGTACATGAGGAGTTTTTAAACTGTGCCCCATGGAGCCAAGATTGTTACAGGGGCTTGTGGACAGGATGCAAGAAGTAACAAAAAGGCACAGCTCCTGGTCCCCCTAGCCCACTTTAACTCTTACCCCTATTGCGTGGTGGACTTTTGTTAGGGATTTTGCTCAAAAGGTCATATTAAAAAAATGAATATAAAACCCTTTCAGTTCTTACACTGTATAATTCTACTACGTAAATCCATTAATATTTATCTTCAGTGATAGTAGAACTTCAAGTTACAAGATGAGAGTAGGGCTAAAATAATTTCCCAGGTCGTGTATCAAGGCACTTGTCAATCACTGTGACATGGTCATCATAACCCTCAAGCTTAGCTCCATGGTTCTGAGTCTCAGATCTTGTCCAGTCAGTCACTCCCTGGTGCAGCCGACATGCAGAAGTGGGTCTTGGTCCTAAGAAGATCAACAGCTTCCTCACTACTACAATTTTGGCACCTATGTTCCTTTCTCTTCTTCTCTCTTTTCAGTGTTGTTTAGAAACACAGACATTTTGCTGAGGGAGCCTCATTTCAGTGGGTCATGCCTCTGGGCAAGGGATTAGCAAATTCATGCGATCTCATCAGTTCAATAATTTTGTAGCTGCATGAACTGATAATTTGTTCTTGGCACAGTTGAGTATCCATTAATAATTCTAGGAATGTCACATATTCAGTAGCAATAAATATGAGCCCCGACCAGCTGAAGAAGTAGAATCAGCTGAGAAGGAGAAGATACTGAACTTTAGCCTCAGGTCATGTGTAATGGTCACAAGTCAGTAATTTATCCAATTATAAGATTCTTTTCAACAAATGAGAGATCAAATAATTTATTGCTTCTTCAAAGGGCCTCTTGAAAACACCTGGAAAAAAATAGCATGAGGAAAGAAGACTTCTTATTAACTAAATAAATTTTAACATTAAATCTCAACTAGAATTCTAACTAACATTTTTACTTTGAAGACCAATTTTAGAAAAAAAGAGCTACTACATCTTGTTCATTTTCTGGGAAGAAAATTCCAGACTTAATGTTACCAATGAAAGTTACATATTTTTGTTATTAATTAGTATGTTTAGTTTTACAGATTCCATGCTTAATAGGCCATAGTTTCTTACAGCCTTCCTCAGACACGAGGTCTATGGCCTGAAAATCAGATGAGAATCATAAATTTCTTTTTATTGTCTTAAAACAATATTAAATGTAACTCGTTATTAAAATAGTAAAAGGACATAATTTTCATAATTTTTTTTTTAAACCAAAGATTATAAGATCCCTACTGAGCAAGTACTTCAAGAAAATAAACCCCAGGCAGACTGCACTTTGAGTCGGAAAGGAAGCTCTGTTTGGGGAAATGCATTGGATTCCTGGCCATGAGCATTTTAGATGCTCTTCTTTGTCCTCCAGGGACACCCTGAGTGACTGTCGTCCACAAGTGTTAATTATCTCGGAAGTTTTATAAACAAATACCTTCCTTTTTCTTCTCACTGATGCAAACTGTTTGTCTTTCATAGTTAGTTACATTTGTGTATGCTAAGACTAAAAAACCACATAGCATCCCTTAGCAACTGATTATTGTGAACAGCATACAACATACAGAACATGCACTCTGTTTTTGCTTTAGTTAAAAAATCTGCTTCTCCTGTAGAATTTCCCACTCTGTAATAGCATCATTCATTAGGTCATGCAAGTAACAGAATCCTAGAAGTCCATCTTAAATGCCTTCCTCTCTCTCACTCCTCATATTCTATTGGTCATGAATTCCTGGAAATTCTATCTTCTACCATATTTCATTAGCTTCTTTTATCCATCCTGTCTGTAAAGAGCTTATTGTCTCCATCCTGGGATATTTCAGTTATCTCCTTAGATATTCTTCCAGCCTTCCAATTTCCTTTCATTGGCCCCCATCATTAAATTCATCTATTAGATAGTATACAGACTGATTTTTCTAAAATGGAAATCTGATTATGTTAAGCTCCCGTTTTAAGTTTTTTTCAGTGTCTTCCACTCTCTGAAGGACAAAGCCCAAACTTAGTTTCATGTCATACAATGACTTTGTTGATCTATTCTGCCTGTGTCCCCACCAATTCTTTATTCCAGGATGTTAGTACTTCCAACACATCTTACCCTATCATTTTATACCTCCATGTTGCTCACTATGCTGTCTTCCCATTCTACCTGACTCATACTTTAATTCTCAGATGAACTTGTTCCTCTCTTTTTTTGGATCAACCTCACAGCTTCCTGACTTTGCTCTTCTAAACAGAACTGTTTATTACTAGTGATACCAGTAAGCCTAGAGTCCATTGCTGTACTAAGATTGCCTTTCCCTGAAACTGTGGGGAAGTCCCTAGCAGGGACTAGGTCACTTTTATATTGATATATCTAGGCATTTACATCTTGATATGGTTAGCACTGGGTCTGGTACATGGGAAGTGCTCTATAAATGTTCATCGAGTTTGTAAAATAAAACCCTAGCTTATACCAGAATATATTTGTTCTTTTTAAGATTTTTGTTTTCTTCTGCTTATAAAAATATTATCTTACCATTGTAAAAACTTCAGAAAAGATACAAACAGTGAATGGTCTAGTTTTCAACATCCTGTGAATACAAATTGAATCTAGATGTTTTGTGTTTTACTTCTAAGGCTCTTATACGTCTACCTTCTTTTATCATTGGTAATTCCCCAAAGGGTTTATTTTCTGTGTTTAAGAATACTTCTATTGTTTTTTTATTACCATGGATAATAGAGACAGGACTCCAATAACCAAGTCAGAACTTAGCCGTTGTCCCTGACAGCTTCATCAAAGTGTCACTTCAGGCTGGCATCCTGTTCTCAAGTTGCAGTGTTAGTACTATGATGTGTTAGTACGAGAAAGGTTGAAACTTGATTTCTCCCTCTCAGTACTGGAGGTGCTGACACTTTGCCATCTTGCAATGCAGTTGAGAATGCAGGTCCTCCACTGCTGCATCTCAGAGCTGGTTGATTATGGTATATGTGTCATGCCTAATTGGTCCCATAGTTATGGCCCCTTGCCGAATCTAATTTGCAGTTCTAGACCCTAGATGCCTTTCTCTCTTAGGGCGAATTATCTCTCAAGGGTACTACTGTCTGATTTGTTTCCGGTCATGCTAGTCTCAACTCCTTTCCTATCTGTAGACATGTCTCTATGTGTCTAAACCCCAATAGTCCATAGAATTCAAATTTATACTCCAGAAGACTTAGGCCCCATATAATAGTGAATAATTATCCTTTGTAATAGAAAAACTGAATTCCATTCATGAATATCTTGTTTTTCCTAATTTGTACCATTAGCATTAGCTCTACTGTCTTTAATCATAATAAATGGTTTACCCATATAAAAAGTTTGTAGTTAGTTTTGCTAATTTTGAAAGACCTCTTAAGAATGTTGTGTTAAAGAGTCCTGATAGATGTATAGTTTGCTCTTTGGGGAATTGGTTCAGGGTCTGCTTTTGCTAATGTATTAAGGTAAGTCCAAATGAGTTGTACACATTTAGAGAAAATTAAATTGATTTTTTCTCTTGGATAGCTTTGAGTATTATTTTGCTTGGATGTGTATCTGATGTTATTCTGTTGCTTTACTTGCGTAGACACAATCGGTATTTTTTTGAGATAAGTGTTCCAAAGTTCTTTAACAACAACCATAAGTACTGGATATCCTTTGTGGTAGATTCAGATAATATACTTTTTCATGGCTCATGATACCTTTTAATGAGTGGCAAGTACTGGTATTTCAAGGCCATTTATTATTTATAATGCTATGCGCAGTCTGACAAATCAGATTTGATTATTCAGCTTTACTGAACACAGAAAATGTGCTAAGATGATTTCATTTCTTGCTTTGAATCAAATCTGCAAGGAAATACACACATTTCAAATTCATTACTCAGAAACAAAGATACATATTAAGATATTCAGTGATCATTTTATTAAATGAATACAAATTTGAAATGTTTATGAGGAAATATATCGAAATTGAACAAAAATGTTATAAACAGCAACTCTACAACTGGGAAAATATCTCAGTTTTATTAATTTTGGTGGCATCTTCCCAACCATGTCTAATCTTCATTATCTTCTTCCTTAAGCATGGCAGGAATAGTATGCATTTACATACCAGGACAACAATTGGAAGGAACACAGCCATCATAAAAGTTGGAGGTGTATACCATACAAATTGTTTTATATCTACCCATTTATTCCAGGCAAAAATCAATGCATGTATTGTGCCCAGTAGAAGGGAAACAATTCCTAGCTTGCTCTGCAAAAGAAAAAAAATTATTTTGGTGAAGATTGGTTCAATAAGTTTATTCCATCATACTTCATCTGGATCTGTTCTGTTGCTTGGAAATTCTTTCATTCATCTGTAATTGTTTTGCTATTACATTTCCCAACAATGTCCACCCACATCTTTCCATTCTTTTCACATGTCTCTACTCACCCTACTTTTGGGTAATGGCTTTGTCTCCAGGCTATTTAAGCTGAGAAAATTCAAAACCATTCTCCTTTCAGTCTCAGCTAATCAATAATACTGTCTTCCCTTTCTCCACACTTTGTTTTCTCTTATGACATTTATTTTATGGTGCTTTGTCTCTTGTGTATTTGCCTTAATTCTGTCTATGAAGACACATCTAAAATTAGGGACTCTGTCTTACTCATCACAGGATCCCTAAAGAGTCAACACAATGATTTGTGCATTTTAGGTACTCAATATATTTTGGCGGGTTGACTGAAGATTAGTGCAAAAATCAACTCAACTCCAGCGATCTTTATTAATTGTGAAGGCAACTAAAACAATTGACTGATTTTGGTACATGAATACTAAAATGAATGAGCTTGGCTTATGTAAAAAAAACCCAAACATTCTGATAAAGTGGAAAATATGAACAATTATTTCAATGTTTGAACAAAACATAGAGATATGGAGATGTAAAGAAAAATTTCAGCTTGCACTGGGATCCTTGGCCCTCTCCAGATAAAGTGCTTAAAATTAGTTGTTCGCCTAAGCAATTTTATGGCATCCTGACAATAGCTCTTCTGGATAACTTTTTACTTCTATTCGCTTTACTGGAAATGGTTGTTAGCCTGCCAGAATAAATCCAACTCACAATTATTCAGCAGTAAGTACCCTTAAGCCGCAGTGAATACAATCAAATAGTTAAGTTTATATTTTCAGTTATAAATCAGAGAGTAATCAGTCATTGGATTGTAAATGAAAAGTTTCTAGGTTACTAATTGAAAAACACATGTGACTGGTTGGAGATTAATTTTACCAAATGTGCATTATATACTTATTGTGGGCTTGGTGTTGTATACACAGTGGAATGGGTTCAGTTGTCAAGATGCAGCGCTTGAATTCCTCACTAAATCTGAAAAGTGGTGTTTAGCTTATGTGTGACAGGCAGAACAATATAAGAAGAAAGTTATTTAATGAGGAACAGAGAACTCCAATATCAGGCTGAACCTAGCAAACCAGCAAAAATTGCACTTGAAAAATGTGGCACCATCTCTAAGCCATATTTGAATAATTCAGATGGAGACATACTTTTCAGCTTAATCAGATGTCCTAATAAAATGTCTGTAGGAGTACACGTATGAACATGTAGAAAGGATAGTGGGGAATGTCTGACTTTGTGAGAATTTCTATAGCTTTAACTTTTATGAGAATAAAAGCTGAAGCTATGTAATTTAAAAAATCTTGGCAGTGCTTATGACTCAATTAAATTTAGTCCTTTGAATTTTGTCCAATGTGGATCCCCTTGTGAATTCTGGTACACCACTCTTTTAAGGATTTAATCTATCACTAGCAGATTAACTTCAGTAAATCTCAGATAGTTTTCATTCCAAGAATATTGAGAAACTTCAAGAAAGCTCCATAAAATGTAACTTGAAAAAAGGAGACTGTAAAATTATATATTGAATACTCGTGGTAGATAAAATGACATATTTCAAGAAGAGATGTTTTTTCGTGGATAGTACAAAGCTGCATATTTAAAAGATGAATAATGAATTAGGGGCAAAAAGTTTTTATTTTTTAGAAACTAAAAAACCATAAATATTGAATTTCTAAAATGTCATATTTATAGTTATTAGATGGACAGCAAGTTGTCTAACAAGTTTCAAATGTTTAGAAATAGTATTTTTCTTTGAGTAATGCCTTCTATTTTTGTCTAGAAAACACTTCTATTTCGCAGCAATAGGGAAAAATTATAGGAAAGCACATTATTAATTGGAACGAGTTTGCTATTAGAAAACCACTTGCTAATTTTTATGGGGAAAAGTCAATATACTTCATAATATTATAAGCACAAAAAGATTTACCTCTCTGAGAGAAGTTATTTTATGTATCATTTACCTGTATATAGTGAAATTCTCTCCATGTCAAAGAGTCGCTCACAGATGGAATCGATGTCACAGCCAACAGAGCCAGTATTGCAAGTGCCACGATTCCCAGAGACACATAAATTTCCATTCTCCAAACATCATGCTCGATCCAGGCATCTTCTTTATTTTGTTGGACCTGCCAGAGGGTGAAAAGAGGACAGAAAGAATGTAAACAATACTTGTCCCTACATCTGAACCTCCTTCTACACTGGCTCTGGCTACTATGGAGCGCCTGATCAGTGGGGGCCTCCACAAATTATGACTTTGCTTTTGTACATCTCTAAAAGAAATAACATAGGAGTTATTAATCATTTTCCTTGAATGCAACATTGATATGTTTTATTTATATAATAATTATTTGGTTAGAGTTATAATGTACATGAGCATGTGGCAAATAAGTAGAAAAGAAAAATTAACATTAAAAAGTAATCTTGTGAGGGTTGTAGAAAATTGAAATATGGTCCTGTCCAGGAACAAAATACTTGTTTATACTGTTAAAGTTGTAATTTACTATTTTCAGCTTAAAATAAATTCCTCAATATAAAACTATACAATTAAGCCCCGATGAAGAGTAATAATAAAAAAATTTTAATGCAGATTATTGTCTCAACACAGGGTTTCAACAGGGGTCTAGGGGATTGATATTAAAATGACAAAGAGTTAATCTGTTAGGTGACTTTTTAGTTTAGTGATATTGTCAATATTGTCATCCTACCTGTTGATATGCCCAGTTTAGCAACTTGTATCTGTAGGATCGCCTCATTGGATAGGATAAACTATAAATTGCATGCAGTATAGCAAAAAAAAAACTGAGAAGCCCAAATTGCTTTCTTGTTAACATCCACCTATCCAACCAATGTGGAAATTTCTTATATTTGGTTCCATTACGAAGCTGTACTACTGCTGCTATCACACCTGGCAAATAAACCAGTGCCAAGAGGGTGATGGAAACCACTGGCAAGACTTTGTTGATGACCAAGATTGGAATCTTATAAAAATAGTGTTGATGGGAAGTTACAAAAGGCTGAACTACTTCCCTCAGAAGAGTGTAAAGGAAAGTCAGAGATGATATGACGGCGGCGACTTTAATTGGCAAGCGCCACTTCGGAAAGAGTTTTTGTTTGTGCTGAAGCTCTCGGGGGCAATCAAATTCATCAAAATGGGTTGGTTGGTGTAAAAGGACAGGTCTTTTCAGCATGCTGGTCTCTCCTGAGTCCTTATTCTACAAAGGAAAGAAAGTAAACATCTTAAAATTAAAACAATGGGATTTCCTTAAACTAATTACATATTGCTCATTGTACTTATCAGTAAAAAAGGACATTCAGAACCTTACTTTTTGGAGACTGGTTAGCTGAAGCGATGGCATAGACTATGTAGCACTAATCAAAGGTTCACTTATCTATGTTGGGGTTCTCCATTAATTTCTGTTATTGTTTTTCTTTTGATAGAAGTACATGCTTCAGCTATCTGCACTAATGGTAGACCATTGTGTTTCTATCCTGAAGGCATAAAGGATGGAATAATGCAACTGGGATACTAGAACTGAAAAACTTAAATAAAATCTAGTAATCTTTGGTAAAAATAATAAAACATGTAAATTATAACAATTGTGTTTGCTTTTTAATGTTTTTATTGGTTACTGGGTAATTCCCTGCAAAGAACTGAAGAGCGAATTCATTAGTTCATGTACAAAGGATCAGGAATAATAGTCATTACTTTAGATAAAAATATATAACTTCTGTCATGTAGTCTTATATTTTGATTTCATATTTCTAAAATATCTCATTTGTGTGAGTACTGATAGACAGTCTATTAGAAGTACAAAGGCTTTTTAAGTAATTAAATCCCACAGGGATGATCTATTTCCTGAGAATGTTATAGTTCTTTACCCAGTTGCATTTCTAGGTATTCAACAATTTGAAAGAAGGTTACATTGAATATTTTGTCATTTCCCCAACTGACTGATATACCAGCAAATTAAAAAAAAAAAATCTCAAAATGAGAAATTATATCAGAATGCTTCATATTGTTTTACTTTACTAATAAATTTACTTTCTCATCCAATATGTTATTCCTCATTTCTTATAGCTCTACATGTAAAACCATAACATTTCAATGCTTGACATGCTAGTGATGGCCTTGTTCATTTCCACATTTTACGCAGAATAACTTTATTTCACATAGTTCTCTATATTTTTGGGGGTTTAAAAGTGACCTCTCAACCATTTGACTTTTAGTAATAAATCATGTTACACCCAATGCTTTTTCCAATTACTTCATTTAGAAGGGAGTTGAGCATGATACAGCGTCTGCCATCTCTTCACGTTAAAACAATCTAAGTACAATCAACTGAGATCAATTTTCTGGTTCAGGGTGAAGAATCATGTAACAGCAAGTAAGACAGTTACCTTCAAAAATAAAAATGATTTTATTTTATGCACACTAATTTTATAGAGTATGTGCTTGTACTATTTTAATTATTTTTCTTATTAAAATAGTTAAGATAAAATAATTTGTTAAAACTGTAGTTAAGATCATTTAGAAAGGTAAAAAGAGTTTGAAACCAAATTTTTTCACCACTTTTTCAGTTAAATAATGTAGTCAGAAACATTTAATCTTGAGGTGGGGCAAAAATGGAACCAGTGCTTCTTATTCCAAAATTGAACTTGTTTGGTTAAACCGTAAATCATCAATTAACTTTATGATCTTTAGATAAGCTGCCATGGTGCCTATTAAAAAAAAACAGATGCTTATGAAACTACTGTTATATGGGCACTGATGTTCTTAAAACACTTAGACCCATATAATGTTAGCACTGAAAGGGGTTTGGAGATGATCTGGTCCAACTCTCTCACTTTATAGATAGATCAAGACCAAGGATTTTTCAGTGACTCATTCAAGGTTATTCAGCTAAGTCCATGACAGTCAGTCAAGGTACAATTTCTTTCCTATATAACATGGCCCTTCACCCATCACAATATCAGTGATGGGAATCACAATTAGCAGACTGGGTTGAAAATAACTTTTACAACATTAGGAGATATAGGAAAGTATTTAAATTATGTTTATAATTTTTAATTAATTAATTATTATTATTTTACCAAATAATCATCTTCTTCTAGATTTCTCCTAGGCTTCATTTTCCAAAGTTCTTCTTGGTTTGTGATGTTCTGTCTACTTTCCATTAATTCTATAAAATAGTATATGGCTTCAGCCACCTATGAAAATAAAAATAATTACCTTTAAGTCTATGCTATTTATGATATTGATGTTTGATAGGGCAATATGAAAAATTTACTCATATAGGGACTAGAGTGGCAGATAAAGTACAATTAAAATACAGATAGTAACGGATTTACACATTTAACCTCATAATCTGTAAGAATCTCAAACCAGGGCCCTTTTGTCAATAATAACAGCTTTCCTTTGTCCAGCTATCGGTAAAATGTATGACCTAGGTATCCATATGGAATTCAAAAGGTTGGACTATTGCCTTTTATTTTAGGGGAATTTACCTCCAGGGGCTCATTTAGAGGAAAGTTAACTTTCCTCAAAGGTAAATAGAATAATGTTATCAATGGAGGTTGGAGCTAGCTGATGTAGCTCAGGAAGTTGTGTTTAATAGACTTTGGGGGTTGGCACTGGAATCTGAAATAATAAATAAATGATTTTATAGGAAAATGTATTCTGAGTTTCAGACAATGAACAGAATAGACACACTTGGTAAGGCGAACCCTGACAGTGGCATAAAGGACTGAAAGGTTATATTTTTAGAGAGCCATTTTCTCGTCAGAGTAATAGGCTGGTTTTTGTTGGTAAGATATAAATTGTTGGTATATTTCCAGTGGGTTGTTGAGTTGTGTTTAATCACTGACATGCACACTCTTCTGGTCAACTCTGTGGAAATTAATTTTGCCAAACTTCCTACCCAATAAAGAAATCTTTGCTTTAACACTCTTCACAGATCCTCATTCAAGCTTGGTGTGACATCTTTTAGGAAAGGGAAACATATAATGTCACAATATTATTCATTGTTTTTATTTGTTCTAAATTTATTTCCAGTGGAATGTATCTCCAATCTGTACTTTATGAAATTCAATGAGAAAAGCAGATTAGATATACCACAATTTGATTGAGAGAAAACATTCCAAGTGTTTCTGAATTTTAGAGCACCTGTAATACTTCATTTAATGGAAAGTTGTTTTCAGAAGTAGTTTAAAATACTTAAAACATTATCCAACTTTTAAAGGTTTGATCTTCACAAAGAAGAAAGGAGCCAAAATAGAATATATGGAAAATGTTCTCAGACCATCTCAACAATAGCAAATTGAATTGAACTCAATTCTATGATAGACATTGAGGAGGAAGAGAGAAATGAGACTTTGTGCCTGCTCTGGAGGACCTTACAGTATTTTTCCTTAGCAAATATTATTCCTAATCATTTGGTGATTTAGTCAGCATTATAAATAGAGTAATTGGGGGGGGGGGGGGGGTATGTGTGTCAAGGAATAGAAGTTTTATCTACTGTAATCAAACAAGAAATTCACACTATTTAGAAGATGTTTTAACTCTGAGTTGCAAGATATCAAAAATGTTAACATGCAAATATATGCTTATTCAATATTAACTCATTACCTGTAATGTGAACAACAATGCCAGGCAGTGGGAATACAAATTTAAATGAGATGGGGCTCTCAAAAACCTCAAGGTCTAGGAGAGAAGGCAGACATTTCAACAACTAACTGCATGGATGTGCAATGAATCCTAAAGGAAGACAAAATTTTACAGATAGATGGTGACACAAGAAGTGTGAGGGCTTTCTCCTAGGCCTGGTCCTTGGGCATATAGCAAATTGGCAGTGTTTGCTGATTGAGGGACACTTTGTACCAAATCTGGATGAAAATCCAGAGTGGCACTAGAGAGGTATCCAGCCATTCATCTGCATGGTAGGGAGACCAGGATGAAGAGCAAAGCCAAGGGAAAGCCCAGGGCAGTGAGGGAGCTTGATGACTGTGTAGCCCACAATCAACTCTGTGCCCAGAAGCCAAGAAAATAAAACGTCAGTCAATAAAATGTTGGTTTCTATCAGTCGTTAACCAAATATATAATTTAAAGTCTCCCATAAAATCTTCTCATAAAAAAGTAAACACAGGAAACAGCAGTGTTCAGATATTAGGAACTCCAGAATTTTACCCAAAGTTCTCTAACTTTCATCCCCATTAAAAAGCAAAGCATATTCCTGATGCGACTGTTCCACTGTGCTGTACTAGGACCGCTGACCTAATGTTCCTGCTAAATATTGACACAGCCCAACTGACTACTGTTTATATGAAGAGTTTAGAATATGAAGAAAATCAATGACAGGGATACATTGTGGATTACATTGCATTTGCAAACCTTCTATGGTTTCAAGAGCACACTTGTGTTAACACATTTAACTATGTGAAGGTAGATATTTTTCTTTACTGGGCTGCTTTTTAAAGCATTGCTTCTTCCCTATGCTTCATTCTGTGCTAAATGAACGACCTTTTATTAAATGTCAGGATGTCGAGAGGAATGTTTTTAGAAAAACAACCGAGTAAGAAATTTGAAAATATTCATAAATTTTACGTCTACAAACCTCTTCCAGTGGATTTGACCCATGACATAGATAAATAAAGCCTTGATTAACTACTTGGAGGGAACTTGAACCCCAACCCAGATCCTGAAAGAGTAGGACTAATGTTCCAAGGACTTAAAATGAAAAATTCCTGTTACTCGAAAACCTAAAGACAAGTTGCACGATTTTAAGTACTATGTACCAATCATTCATCTATGCGATGCAAACTCATGGCGATTTTGCCAAGGTGGCAAACTTGCCATCAGAACCCAAGTTAAGGACAAACTTAATAACCCATCATCATACCCCTTGAGGCCCCAGCGAAAAGGCTTCCTTGTGAGTTGCTGGCTCCCAGCCCCTGGACGGGCTACAACGGAGCGCTGTGCTCTGCGGAGAGCTGGGCTGGAAGGCAGCGCGCCCTGGAGTTGCGCGTAAGCGGCGTATTGAGCTGCGCTCCCCGCGGAGCGCCGCCCGGGTCCCGCGCGGGCTGGCAACCCGCTCCAGTCCTCCCGAGGCTGGGAGCCGGCGGCGGCCTTTAGGGACACCCGGAGGTGGGGAGCAAGCAGCGAGCCGGAACGATTCAAGGGACTCACCCACTTCTCAGCGTGACCTGACGGTAAGTTGCGGCCGCAGCAGTTGCCGTGAGGTGCCAGCCCCACGCGGCGCGCGAGCCTCGGGATCCCGGAGCCTGCTCTCCGCTGCAGACCCCGCCTCCTTGTCTATTGCCGGTTTTAGCGCCACCTGTGGGCGCTTGGCGTCCCCACGGCTCCTGCCCGGAACGGACTGTCTTCTCAGGTTCCAGCGGCTGAATTTAGGACTTCCTCTACGTTGCAACCTGGCCGCTTTCGTCCCCACCCCCCGCAAAAAAAGATGTCCTACGCCCGAGGTCAGCTACGCGCCCTCCCACTCCTCGTCTTTCTTTAATCTCCAAGTAACGAACATTTGTGCAATTCTTTAGAGCAGTGGTTTCAAATTTTAACGTGTATCCTCTGTGGTGCTTCTTAAATCATCGATTTGGGCCCTTCCTTCACAGTTTCTAGTTCAGTAGGTCTGAGATGCGGCCTGAGATACTGCGTTTCAACTCAGAGGAGTAAATCTTCCGATTACATTCTCTTTATCTATACCCCTCATATGCTGAAGCACTCTCAGATCGCACTTTGAGACGGACTATTTTAAAGCTTAGCTGGCTCATTTAAAACTTCACAGCAACTCTGTAAAGTGGCTGTTATTCACAGTTGAGGAATCAGAATCTGAATCTCTGAGACTGACTTCCTCCTTAAATTGTCCAAACCTGGTACCCTAAGCCATACAAGCACCATTCCTTAGCTAAATAAACTCTTTCCTTCCTCGCCTCAGATATTAAAGCCAACTTACCATACCCTAACCTAATCAAGTACTCCAACCTAAAGCAAAGTTACTGTCACTAAAAGTTTTAGGTTGTTTCTTAAATATGAGAGGTATAGAGAAAGAGAGAATGTGAACGGAGGATTTACTCCTCTGTGTTGAAACCAGCCTCAAAGTAGCGTGTCTGAGACCTGAATTGCAACATCTGGGCATTTAGTGTACAATATCCCCAGAACCAGTCTAACTAGAAAAAGCAAAGGAAAACCAAATGCTCGACCGCATTTTCCGTGATTGTCTTTTACTCAAATAGGGCGCCTGGGACTGCTCCTGTTTTAATGGTTTTTTTTTTTTTTGTAGTCATCGACTTTCCACCAAGTAATGTTAAAATACCTTGAATATTAAATTACTATGGACTGACGCCTTGTGGTAGAAATAGAATCTTACACTTTATTTCTAGTGAAACTGTAAAATAATCATTTAAAAAAGCTTAAAAAAATCTATGTGTAACATTGACTACAAAGAATTAAGACAAATTGTTAAATATGTTTAAGCACTGTTGAATTTTTAAATGATCATGGTCTTAAATGGTCAAACAAAGCAATGTGCTTTCATTTTTTAAGATGCTAGAACAAAGGCTATCCTTTTTCAAAATCTATTTTGCATAGAAGAGGGAAGAAAGTATTTATTTATATATTAATATAAATTGTCTAAATATAGCATGCTCCACTTAAACCTACTTTTCCTCTTTTAATTAAAACATTTAAAATCAAGCCCAAAATCTTTCGTTTTATAATTAGACCAACAATTTTATTTATGCATTTCTTCTGAAAGTTTTTTGGTCAATATTTTATTGTGGTGAATAAATATAGTATATTCAAAGTAAAATGGTTGAAAATGTGAGTTGTTTACTAATTAGTTTGTAGATATTATAAAGGCAACATAATATTGGATTAAAAATGGCATTAAAGAACTTTGAGTTGTCACCAGTTAATATTATATATAAAATTTATGAAATTTTTGTATAAAAATGACCTATGATTTGGGTATGAGGTGAAGAAAAATAATTTTTTTCTTTTTTGAGAAATAAAAGCCAAAGCATCTGAAAATGTTCTGAGTCAGCCTCTATAGCCCCTACTTTTCAAAACCAGTATGACTTGTGGATAACAATGTTATGCTACTATAAATGTTGAAAGCAATTGCTAGTTTGGATATGACTAGTAAGAACTGGAGGATTGTAAAATAGGAATTTAACTGTGAGCTATAGACAAATTTGGATCATTCAGAATAGTTTCTAATAAACAATAGTAAGAGAGCATATTAACAAAATAATTCCTTAATGTTAATTGAGGTCAAATACTAGTGATTTCACACTAACATGTCAGGAGAATGTAATAATTCAGAATCCATGAGTGCTTTTACGTGACCAACGTACAATCCAATCTTCCAACTTGATGGGGCTGCCACTTAAGAAGTAAATGGAGTATAATGGTGTGAGAGACAAAGTTAAAATGATCATACTATGAAATATAATCACAATGAGCAATAGACAGTAAATTTTAAGAGGACGACAAGAACTCTATTTAGCCTCTCTCTTTTAGGAATCAAACTAACTCCTAAAGGCATAGTGATTCAATAATGATCTTCCTGTGTAAGAATGGTCAGACTTATTTTAAGATGAGGCAAAAATTACCTAGAGTTCATGGAGAAATATTTTGTCAAAATGATTGTTTTAGCACAGACATGGTAAAATTCTACTAGCCTAATCTTTTGATTCTATTAGCCTCATATGATAAATTCTCTTCACTAGTTTAAGGTCTACTGGTACAATAATGCTCAAAGTATGTGGTCAGTTCATCCCCAATGTTTGTTTCTGAAAGTGGTTGGGGGGTAGAGAGAAGATCTACCCTTGGGATTTGAGGTTTTAAAAATTCTTCCATATATTTTTCCCAGCCCTAGCCCTTTATTAGCTCATTTCTCAATATAGTTTATAGTCAACATCTGTTCTAAGTGAGTTTTAAGAACAGGTGGTTTATTTTGAGGTTCACAGATCCATCTCTGCCCAACTACTGCTTAATGATGCTCAAAATTCCATGACAAAATATATTCTATTGTCTTAAAATCTGTTGTGATCTATGAAAAGACTAAAGGCCCTGGAAATGGTAGTGCATTAAGCTCTACTAGTTATTTACATACTACTATGAATGAATATTTCAGTAGTTTTATGAAAGTATGTTCTGGCATTGGGAATGAAATACTAGGATATTAAAGGATAATACTAGGAGGTAGTGAAGGGGTTATACCTTAGGGGAAAAAAAAAGAGCATTTGGACCGAGGGGCCCAAATTACTTAAACTAGGTAATTTCTCCTTTCCCCACATCTCCATATCAAACAATACATGACCTTGCCATTTTTATCTTTGTATCTCTTATAACTTAGAGATGGATAGAACAGACTCATTGTAAGCATTTGTAGAATATGATTTTTGCACTGAGTCTCAGTAAAATTATATAGGACACATAAATGTAGAACCCACGAATGTCTAGACATCATGTACCCAAACAGTGGGCACACATCCTTTTATTATTTGTTTTATAGCACACTTTTGTTTGTACACACAGACCCAGGGGAAGGCCTTGACACTGAAAATCTAGCTCGATAAGCAGAGGGCGGGGGAAGAGTGAAGGAAGGTGCTGGCCACTACACTCTGGTAATTAACAGTTTATTAAGGTAAACTTACCTACAAGGTGTGTCTGGGCAGCTGCAAGACAAAAGAATTCCCACATTGCTTGGCAGGCACCAAAGAATTCTATAAAGAGTGTGGGCACGGTCGGTGGAGACAGTCACGGATACTGTTATGTGAATATTACTGGATACAGAAGATTACATGCTTGACCAGTTTAGGACAATGGCCTGTTCCAGGAATCAGCATTTAATGGTAGGCAGGAGCAGGGTACTGTTCATGTCAGAAGGAACATCAATTAGGATCAGACAATTTTCAAAGGGTATTGGGGGAGGCAATCTCCCTGTGTGGGCCTAGGTCCAACTCACAGGTCAGGCAGTGGTCACATCTTAGAACGGATTTTCCTCTACAACCTTCCTTAGTCTGTCTCCTCCTTCTCCTTCTCCTTCTCCTTCTCCTCCTCCTCCTCCTCCTCCTCCTCCTCCTTCTTCTTTCTTCTTCCTTTCTTCTTCTCTCTTTGTTCTAGAAACATGTGGCCCAGGGCTGCATTGTCACAGGAACTATATGCCTTAGATGACTTGGGTTATAGGAGACAGAAAACTGGTAGAGTCAGATCTAAAATTTTCAGTACTGAACTCTGCCTCATAAAGTCCTTGGCATAAAGAACCATGCTTACTAGTTCCTAGATTTGAGCTTCCAGAAGAAAGGATGAAAGGAAGGCTACTAACATTTATGAAATGCCTACTCTTTTCTGGGACATGTTTAATTCTCTCAACACCCTCGCCATGTAGTTATTATCCTCTGTTTATAGGTGAACTGAAGCTTAGAAAGTTTAAGTAACTTGATTACATTTGTATGGTTTTTAGAAGTCAAGCGAGGACTTTAACCAAAGTCTATTTGACTCTAGTGCTGTTCTTCTGTACTATACTGCCTCTCTGACCACAAATAATCAGCCAAGATTTCTCCAGGCTACACCGGATTGGGGGATTCAAAGGAGTAATAGTTAAAAGAAACCATTCTATAATGCATTCAGTTTTCCCTCATTTGAAGTACTGGCTAATCTACTATAACAAAGAAAACCAAAATAGGGTGTTTCAGGAAGATAGCTTTATGCTCATGTAATAGTCCCACAGTGAATATTCCATGTTGGAGTCGTTCTGCTCCATGAAGTTGGTCATTCAGGGATCTAAGCTCCTTCTATCTTGTGCTCTGCTGTCTTCTAGGGCACTGTCCTTGGCATCATGATTAAAGCATGTCATAAGCACATCTATGATCTAGCTTGCAGGAGACAGAAAGAGTACAAGTCCAAAGCAATTTATTTTCATGTAAGAATTGAGGCAGATATTACACAATCACTTCCTCTTACATTTTATGGATGATAATTTACTCATATGGTAAGGCAGGCAAGGAGATGTAGTTTCTGGCTGAGTGACCAGCTTTTAAGGTCTATTACTATGGAATAAGGGATAGCAACAAACAAACAAACAAACAAACAAACAATCAAAAAACAACAAAACAAAAACCACAAAAACC